ATAAATGCTTGCTTTTTGGAAAAACGGAAGATGCATTTTTTGAAAAAATGCAAATTTCCAGTTCGCTAAAAAGTGGAAGTATTGCTCAAGCTGTCGTTTGTGAAAAAATTCAAATGTGCATATGAACTAGTGTTCATTTACGTATTTGCATGAGGGCAGTCGTTCGCTGCAAAACGCATTCGTTTCTGATTTTCGATAAAGTTGAGTATTTTCCACGCCCGTCTAAACGAATTTCACCTACAAGCAGAATTAAGGCTGCACTTGAAAGTAGAATATCCTAACGAATTTTCAGCCTTGTACCTTATCCAGCAAGTGAAATATCCACTTCGCTACAAATATCTTCGAAGTGCCCTAAGTCGTGGCACAAGCGCAAATCGTTACTCATTTTAGGTATATCATTCTCCATGTGAAAGACAAACATGCTGACAAAATTTCAGCCACTGCTTTCCAGCAAGTTTTCGAGTTACCATAGTGCCAAGTTACAAACTTTGACGTGCCGTATACGCTATACAAGCGTGCGTGACAGCTAAAGTTGAAATGTTTAGCTCGCAGATGCACAGAGAATATCCCAGCAAATTCTCGGCTTTGTACCTTGCCTGGCTCGCAAAATCGTTTTCCAAAGTTTCAGCCTCTCAGCTTTTCCAGTTGCTGAGATGAAAGTGGGTGACAAAATGCACTCGCTTTCCGAACACACACACACAGACAGCCTCTCGACAATATGCGTTTTTGCGCTGTAGCAGCGTGCTATAGCGCTGTACAAAAAAAGCCCCCATCAAAACGCGTATTACGCCAACTTCGATGCGCGCGTGTGTATGCGTGTTGCGTCTTTCCGAGTGTTTCAACTAGACAACCAAACAAGCTTCTACAATGAAATTTTGCCAGTGTGTTTCCTGGTCAATGCACTCCACGATTGCTGTACTAACTCTTCTGCTCATCTAGCCCCCTGTAAGAGCATGTGAAAATTTTGGCGAGAAAATTCCTGGCTCGGAAACCAGAAAAGCTAGGAAGCTGAAATTTTGAGAGGACGTTCCTCGTCCAAATAGAACTCAAAGATTTCAAATTCAGCTCCATTTATGCGTGGTTCTCAATTTGCAGCCCTGCAAAAATTTTGGCAGGAAAATTTCTAACTCAGGAACCAGAAGAGCCAGAAAGCTGAAATTTTGATGGGATGTTCCCTAACCGAGTACTACATAGTTACACAATTAACTTCCTGAACTTCGAGGGCCGGTATGCCACTAATTTTAGCTAATGAGGCTCCAAAGCGATCTTACATGAAATACTGCAAAAACGCATGGTCGCACGCGCCCGGCTTGTGCGGTCGCCAGTGATTTATTATGCAGTCTTGGTTTCGACAAACAGTCATTGAATTTTGCTGTCCCTTGCACCGTAGGTTGATCTTTTTCTCGGTTCCCCTCGATTTCTCTTCTCGACTTAAAACTGTTGGTAAATATCGAAAGGTCGAAATCGCTCCAGTTGCAAATCTGTCCAACACTGAGATTTCCAGAAATTCCTCGCCATTCGTTTTCGATCGCTGTGTAGACGCCGAAGGGGATCTAGGATATTGATCCCCTTCGGGATCTAAGATATTGATCCCCTTCCCCTTCGGGATCAATATCCTAGATATTTTGTTCATGTTGTACCCCACTGTGTCTTGCTTAGCATGTATTTTGCATTTTTGCTTGCACAGCAGCTTGACCTCTACTTCATTTCCAATCTCTGGTCAGGCTAACATTGGTTCAGGATTGTTCATTCACCAATACTTTGTGACGTGTGGTAATGCTCCAAACGTACCACTGACAATTCGTAATAGCTAAAGCTAAGCCAAACTGGAAAACCACTAAGCTGATAGTCCCTTGAGAAAAATCAGAATCGCTAGTAAACTTAACACCACTTGTTGCAGTTGACAGCTGCGTCGCTTGAGGACAATACCGTGAAAGCACAGCTGACCATTTTTATGCGTTTTTGCCTATAAGCAAGCTGCAACCCAGGCTGGAACTCACCAGGCGAGCCGGTGCGATCATGCGTTTTCGCACTAAACTCACATATCGCTAATGACAGGAATGATTCCTACGCTACAGCCTAGCAATTGGGTTCATATTGGCCGTGCTTTGATCCTTTCCGGCAAGCAAGAGGAAAGGCGTCAGTTGGGATGAAAGTGATGCTTTATAGAGCCGCACGGAAATCCAGGTGCACTATTACCGATTTTTTGCATGAAGTTCGGTCGTTTTTTCGGTAAATGCTCGCTTTATGAAACCAGGCTGGAACGCACCAGGTGAGCCGGTGCGATCATGCGTTTTTGCATCAAACTTTGAGGTA